AGAATTGCAGAACGTGGTAAAACATTTATAAAGAAAAAGGCGAAATTGGCTTGGAAAACTCCTGTGGAGGGTCCAAATAGGACAAAAAAGGTCTTATATGAAAGGTGAAACAACGACTCATGTATAAAGGACGTCGCAGTGCATGACGATTAGCTGGAATATTCAGCGTTTCTTACAGTACTATTCGTCGAATAATGAAGGATAATCTTCATTAAAAAAATTATCATATTAATACTCAACCCAAACTAAGTGACTATCATAAAAGAATGTCGGTTGAATGCTGAGTGCAAAAATCATTAAGAAAAGAAGATCATGGTAAGATCTTATTTATGGATGAGAAATAATTTTCAGTATAATATGTATTTAATCGTTGAAATAGATCTATTAACTTCCTGAGTCGACATGAGGCAGATAAGCAATGAGAAATAAAATAACAAAGTATCCAAAAATATTACGGTATGATTAGCTGCCTGGGAAAATAGTCCTACGTCTCCAACCATTCTACAATCTGTTGAAACATTATCTCACAAAAATTATTTTGATGTAATTCTTCCACATGCACAATCTGAAGGAAACCGATTGCTACATAATGATTTTACCTTCCAACAAGATAATGCTATATCACACACTTATGATGAATCATTAGCATGATGTCAGGAAAACTTCGTAAGATTTACCGAGAATTCTAGGTGGTAACCAAATAGTCCTGATCAGAATATTCTGGATTATTATGTGTGGAACGCTATCATCAATAATATGCACTGGAACATGATTAAAAATTATGATTCATTAATTAATGAAATTAAAAAGGGATTCATCGTGTGCCACTAAATGATATTGCTCGCAGCTTCTAAACATGATCCTACCGGATTTTGTCTATTTTAGAAACGCAAGCTGTATTTGTAAAATAAACCATTCTTTATATATTGTACAGGTTTTCACGCAGCATCTTGTGGTGTATTTTACTTTTCTCTTTTTATGAAAGATGTGAGCTGATAAAAAGATGAAATAAAAGGATAGCGAAATAATCAAATAATCAAACGTGAAAAAACTGTCACGGTCCAAGACTTAAAGTTGACTGCTCGAAGTTTTGACCATTTTGAAATAAAAAAATGAAACTATAAGAAAAGCAATCCGATGCAAATTGTAGGGCTTTTAATACTGCATCTCGTGGTGCATTTCGTTTGTTTTTATATGGCGTATAAAGTTTAAAAAAAAATTGAGATGCAGAACGCGACCATTCACCACGAGCACCCTTATTTCATCGTTTTATTTCGCAAATGTTTTCAGTAAGATTCACATCAACCACCAGCAGGAGGCATACATCACGAATGAGATTGGCCTCAATAATTTTTTTCAATGAAACCTTTCTTGCACAAGTATGCCACCTGTTGAAAGAATGTGTTGCTGTGGATCGAGAATGGATGTCTCCGGGCATTCAGTGTTTTATTTTTTTTTTGTTCTCGTTCTTATTTAAAATTTTTCAAAATAAACATTTGGAGAAAAAGAAATTATTCTTCGAAGCTTCGAGAAAAAAACAGTAAAGTAATTGGTGGTGGTCGAGATATCTACTCTAAAGAGATTTTTGTCGAAGTCGCTGTCTCACACAGTAATCAAAACTACTCGAAGTTCCGTAATTCATTTTCCGTGATCGTCGACAAGGTAAGTACTGCGGGCAAAAAAATTGGAAAGCCATAGACTTACAGAAATGTGTGATAAAATAAGTTTCAGCATATTGCGATTCAGTTTCTTCAATAAATGAGTCTGTGGTCTAAAGCTCTAGATCAAATGCCAACATTTTACTGATGACTTATAACTATTAGAATTCTCTCGACCTATCTGACTCAGCGCATACAGAGTGTTTTATGGATTACCGAATTTTTTTGAGCTACATAATTGAACAAACATAAAAAAATGTACTAGACAACGTCAGATTTCGAATACTTAGGTTTCATGTTAGTGTGTGCTATAGGTGTGTAACATGATACTCAGGTAGTCACAGCAAAGAAGAAACAATAGTAGTGCAGTCGCTTCGAGAATACATCCAATTCCGCGATGTTGCACATTGCTGGAATCAGTTCCGCCCCGGAATCGATTCCATTCAATTCCGCAATTTTGCTCACAGAGACCTCGATCCGATTCCAGAATACAATCAACCATTTCCCAACAATTCCGGAATCATTTCCAATAATACCATCTAATTTCGGAACTTCGGGAATTCCATCGAACACGAATCGGAACGAATTAGCCGGAATTGCATGCAATCCCATGTAATTCCGTTCTATTCCGGAATCATTTATGCATTGCATTAATACCATACGCCACTTCTAGTGTATGTATGCAATTCCCACACGGAATTCCGGGAATCCCTTCAAGGAGGAATTGGACCGGACATGGGCGGCGCAGGATTTTTTGGATATGTTGGATCTCCGTTTCAGAGCATGGGACCCATATGAAACTCATGGAGGTGATATTGAGCCTAAATGCTGAG